GAATGTACAAATGTGCTTCACACAACTGATGTATGTGTGGATTGTGATAAGAGTTGTATGAGCCCCCAATAAAATGATTAAAAAAGAAAAATGAAAAGGGAGAAATCACACCTGAAGTTAATAAATGGTTAGGCTTCCATGGGAATGAAAATACTATCTATGAAAAGCAGAAGGCAGTGAACATGTTAGCCTTAAAGCTCCTGCTGGGAAAGAAGACAGGCCCTGTGTCTGATGGAAATAACTTCCAATTTCATAGTCTCAATTTTAAGGAAGGGTGGGGTGAATAAAAAGAACAGAAGTGAACTAGGCAACAAGGACGCAGTATAGAAGAGCACCAAAGCCGGAAGCACCGTGCTTGGGGGAAAAAAACCAAAATCGAAATAGGCTGAAGGAAAATTGTCACAAATGAAAGCAATGGGCCAGTAATCTTGCTGACTTTAGGCCAACAATTTTGAAAACTTAGATCAAATGGTAAAATTTTTAGGAAAAAAATATCCCTTACAAAAAATCTCAAATAGGAAGTAGCCAGAATAGCTCGATCCAAGCCCAAGCGTCCTGTCTCCTCTTTCCATTTCCCAGTTTGATCCCTGATAGGTAGAGAGCTCTTAAAGGAACCTGATGCTCAAGGCTGACCTTTTTTGTTAATGAAGCTAACTATAATTTTAAGATGATTTCAGAGGATATTCTCCATTCAACGCTTAAAGATGATCTCAAAGCAATAGTTTAAGGGGCTTATCCAGCAAGTCTAGAGTCCATGAGATTTAAAATTCTGTCCTGCATTTCCCTAATTTTGATCCGAATGGCAGCCAGGCACCATCCAGTTCTAGTCCCATGGCACAAGTTGTTCATGGGGACACTTAGCCCAACATTCCTCTTCCTCTTCCTGACTCTCCCTCTTCCTCTGTTGTGCCAAGCAGACTTAGACTCATCATTGTACCTTGGATAGCAGATTAAAAGCTTTTAAGACCCCAGGTACCACTCAAGGAACAAGGAGGTAGAACAGAAGCACTAAATGCATTATTAGACTAATTAACTCGCCAAGGCACAGAGGAGGATGTGACAAGACAATCCTCCCAACCTCCCCTCTGCATTTCCTTATACTGAGAGTGTTCTGGGGGAAGTCAGCATTGTTGCTAATTCCAGAAGGTTCTGTCTTCATCTTTTGTTGTTGCTGTTGCCCTTTGGAAGCACCTGACCTTGAAATCCCACTCTCACAGAGTGTCCCTCCATCTCTTTGCAAGTTTTCCCTCAGGTCTCTTTTCTGTCTGCGGGAGGTGCTGCGGCCCTCAAGGATGTATAGGAGACTCCCTTGTCACCTTTTGAGTAATGACATGCCCCTCTCACCTAAACCAGAAAACAGAAGATGAGACAAGGTAGTGTGCTGCCGTGCTGCTGGAAGGTATGCCGCTGGCATTGAAAAATTTGGCCGGTGAAAACTTTATGCACAGAATAATGTCTAATATAGTGCCAGAGGACAAGCCCCTCCAGTGGGAGACCCAACGCCCACTGCCATGGAGCCACTTTTGACACATAACCCCCCTAGAGCAGCGGTTCTCAACCTGGGGGTTGTGACCCTTTTGGGGGTCAACTGACCCTTTCACTGGGGTCGCCTGATTCATAACAGTAGCACAATGACCGTGATGAAGTAGCAACGGGAATAATTTGATGATTTGGGGGTCACCACTACATGAGGAACTGTCTGAACCGGCCGCAGCCTGAGGAAGGTTGAGAACCACTGCTCTAGAGGCTACAAAACTGTGGGTCTGGACTGAGCAGACGGTGTCAGGTGTCATTTTCCTCCTGCTGGGTCCAAACCCTTAACTCCTTTCTCACTTCGACAGCCACTTAAAAGATGGCTGAAGAACAGCTGCCTCCTCAGCGCAGCATCCACCTTAATGATGGGGATGGTGTGAAACTTTGGGGACCTTAGTTCGCTGATGCGGCATGACTTGAAATGTGAAGTGTGACTTTAGGAAAATGGGAGGTTGCCAAAAAGGGAACAGAATGCTTGACGATAGATAGCCGAGGCAGTGGTGAGCTGTGAGGGCCTGCTACCGCTAATTCGAAATGGAACAGTCACATGGCCTACTATGCCCGGAAAAGGACATTAGGGGAAGTCTCACATTCACGGGCAAAAAGGACATTTTCTTCCTCTTCTTTTTTAATCATTTCATTAGGGGCTCATACAACTCTTATCACAATCCATACATATATCAATTGTGTAAGGCACATTTGTACATTCATTGCCCTCATCATTCTCATCATTTTCCCCCTCCCTCCCCGCTCCCCCCTCCCTCATGAACCCTTGATAATTTATAAATTATTATTTTGTCATATCTTGCCCTGTCTGACGTCTCCCTTCACCAATTTTTCTGTTTTCTGTCCCCCAGGGTGGAGGTCACATGTAGATCCTTGTAATCGGTCCCCCCTTTCCAACCCACGCTCCCTCTATGCCCCCAGTATCGCCACTCTCACCACTGGTCCTGAAAGGATCATCTGTCCTGGATTCCCTGTGTTTCCAGTTCCTATCTGTCCCAGTGTACACCCTCTGGCCTAGCCAGACTTGTAAGGTAGAATTGGGATCATTATAGTAGGGGGGCAGATTTAGGAACTAGAGGAAAGTTGTATTTTTCATCGTTGCTACATCGCACCCTGACTGGCTCGTCTCCTCCCCGAGACCCCTCTGCAAGGGGATCTCCAGTGGCCTACAAATGGGCTTTGGGTCTCCACTCTGCACAAAAAGGACATTTTCAAGATCTATTTTGAAGTACAATACTCTCAGTGATTGGATAAGATCCATACACCTGTGAGGAAGACTAGTTAATACAAATATTATTCAAATTTATACACCAACAATTCATGCCAGAGATTAAGAAATTGAAACAGTTCACCCTGAAATCGGTCAAGCATGCAATCCAGATGCATTGATGATTACTGTTGATCAGAATGAGAAAATCATAAATAAAGAAGGATGGGCAATTGGAAATAGAAATGACACAGGGGGGTCCTATGAGAATTTTGCAAGACCGATTCATTGGAAAGACCTTTTTTCAGCAACATAAATGTGGCCCTCACTAGATGGAAAACACAGGATTCAAACGGAATACCTGTGTGGGAAGAGATGATGGAAAACTCCAAGATCACCAGTTAGCAAAAAGGCCAGAGACTGACTGCAGAACAGATCATTAACTTCTCAAATGCAGTCTCAAATTCAAGCTAAAGAAAATGAAACTGAGTCCATGAGGACCAGAGCATGACTTTGAGTATATCTGACCTGAATTTGGAGACTCTATTAAGGATAGATTTGAATCACTAAACATTAATGACCAAAGACCAGATGAGGTGTGGGATGACATCAAAGATGTCATACAATAAAGAAAACAAGAGGTTATCCCACTCCAAAGACTGGATGACCTAACAGCATGGACATTTTTGAAAGTAAACTTTTGCTAATAATCATCCAACAATGGTTGCAGCTGTACATTGATAGGGAGCTGCCAGTGGTTCAGGCTGGATTCAGAAGAGGACGCGGAACAAGGGAAATCACTGCTGATGTCAGCTGAATCTTGGCTCAAAGCAGAGACTACCAGAAAGATGTTTGCTTGTGTCTTATTGACTATGCCAAGACATCTGGCTGTGTGGATCATAACAAACTATGGATGACCTTGAGAAGAGTGGGAATTCCAGACTTCATTGTGCTCATGTAGAACTTGTACATGGACCAAGAGCAGTTGTGCAAACAGAAGTGAGTACTGCATGGTTTAAAATTACAAAAGGTGGGTACCAGGGTTGTATCCTCTCACCATACTTTTTCAATCTGTATGCTGAGCAAATCATCAGAGAAGCTGGATTATATGAAGAAGCTTGGGGCAATGGGACAGGAGGAAGGCTTGTTAACAACCTGCAATTTGCGGATGATGCAACCTTGCTTGCTGAAAGTGAGGAGGACTTGAAGCATTTGCTGATGAAGATCAAGGATTGTAGCCTTTCAGTATGGATTATGACTCAATGTAAGGAAGACCAAAATACAACTGGACCAATAGGTAACAGCATGGTTAACGGAGAAAAGGCTGCAGTTGTCAAGGATTTTGTCTTGCTTAAATCCACAATCAATGCTCATCATACAAGCAGCAGTCAAGAGCTCAAACGTCAGAGTGCAAGGATGGTGAGACTTAGTCTCATGTACTGTGGACATGTTGTCAGGTGAAGGATTTCATGTTTGGTAAAACGGAGGGGCAGTGAAAAAGAGAAAGGCCCTGGAGGAGATGGATCGACGCAGTGGCTGCCACAATGGACTCCAACATTAGGATTGTGAGGATGGCCCAGGGCCAGGCAGTGGCGTATGGGCCGTGTGCACGTATGGGCTGTGGCCTCTGAAATGGGGCCCGGCCTGGTCCTGCAGTAGCCTGGCTCCCGGCGGTCCGGCCCATCCGGTCCGGTCGCAGCCGGCGGCGGCCGAGGGCAGAAGGGAAGATTTCCGTCACAGCTCGGCTCCGCCCTCTTTCCCACTAGGTGTGTGGGCTCTGGCGACCGTGCAGCCAACCAGGGAAGGGGAGCAGTGGTGAGTAGCGTGCCCCTCGTCCAATAATTGGTGGGGCTGGCGAGCTAGGGGCGGGGCTACCACACAGGCCAATCACGGCGCGGGGCAGCGGTCACCTGATCGCGGCGGACGGCCGGTAGCGGTGGTAGAGTCGGCCGAGCAGTACAGGCCGGGCTGTGATGGCGGCGGCGGCGGCGGTGGCTCGAGAGCGGGCGGGAGAGCGGCAGGTCCCGGCGCTCGGGCGGATGCGGTGGCTGTCGCTGGTACTGGTCGTGACGGCGGCGGCGGTGACCGCGGAGCAGCAGGTGCCGCTTGTGCTGTGGTCGAGCGACCGGTGAGAGGCCAGGCTCGACATGGACGGGTAGCTGGGATCGGCCCGAGCGGGGGGCGGCGAGGCCCAGTGAGCACTGTCCTAGCCCGAAAGCAGCAACCAGCCGCCAGGGTCTACCACCGGCCCCGCTGGCTCTAGCTCAGGGGCCCACGCTCCTCCCGGGCGCCCAGCTTGATGGCTGGCTTCTGCCCCTCGCCAGGGACCTGTGGGCTCCGGCAGCTGACACCCACGAGGGCCATATCACCAGCGACTTGCAGCTCTCTACCTATTTGGACCCCGCCCTGGAGCTGGGGCCCCGGAATGTGCTGCTCTTCCTGCAGGACAAGGTGCACTGCCCAAGTTGGCCCGTGGGAGGCGGGCACCCCTCCCCACTGGCCCTGGGCCCTCAGCCCCTTCCCCAAGGTAACCTGTGACCTTGTCCCACTTGGGGGGTGGGCGCCTCTGGAAGGCAGGGAGGAGCCCGAAAGATGGCCACGTGCCCCACGCCCTCTGCTTTGTAGGCTTGACCCTCCCTGCCCTTGTCTTCCCCATTCAAAGTCTGATGGCCAGCAGGGCAAGTGATGTGCCCAAGGTCACACAGCTCATGGGGGATAGAGCTGTGATTCTAAGGAGAATGGTCACAGAGGGCTCCTTCACCAAGTGCTTGCTGTGCACTGAGCTAGGTTGGTGTCATGACCTGGATCTGACCACCAAAGGATGAGGTGGTCAGAGGTTTGGGGGATGGGGGGCCAGGACAGTGGGAGTGCCCAAGTTTATCAGCTCCAGAGGTGGTGGGAGGCAGCTGGTACTCGCCAGCAGATCACTGCTTGCCCTCCTGCCCAGGCCTAGGGAGCAAAGACTAGGGCAGCTCAAACTTGGTGTCTGGGGCCGCCCCGTGGTACTTTTCCTGCCAGTGGTGGTGGTCTTTGGAGTGTGTCCCCTCTCAGTGTTGGGCTGTTGCTCAGTGGGTAGGTGGTGTTGCTCACATTGGCCAAGTTCTCCCAGGAGTGTGAAGTGATGAAGTCAAGCTGGAACTCCCTTGAGTTCTAATACATACTAACCTTGGACAAACAAAATGATTTTTGTGAGTTCCTGCTTCTTCAGCTGTGAACTAGAGGAAACATCTGGCCGGGGTCTCCTGCTTGTCAGTCATCCTTTCTGTCATTTGCCCAGGTGATGTGTCTGCTGTATGTACTGATGGTGGGTGGGTGGGTGGGTAGGTTTGCAATGAGCAAGCAAGGAAGTTGCTGTTTTCTTGGGGGACAACAAGTAATTGTGAAAGGGCCGGCTAACACTGTGTCAGCCCTGTCTTAAACGGAGAAGGAAGCCAGCTAAGGGCACTGAGTGACTGGATACGCTGTTCCAGACTAAGGTGCTTAGTTGAGGGCTCTCAGAGGCTGGACTGTCTGTCAGGTGGCAGGCGGGGTGCGGTGGGGGGGCATTTTAGGAGATGAGGTTGGTGGCACTCCTGTTTCTAGTGGCAGTGGCTTGTTTTCAGGTCCCTGGCTTCCAGTGCTTTTCTTTCCCCCCAAAGAGGGCTGGCTCACATGCCCCGAGAGTAAGGGCAGGTAGATGGGGCAACTTTGTATACTAAACAGTGCTGTACTAAACAGCCGACTGAGAGTACTTGGCTTCCAGGCCAGCTAGCAAAGAAAGGGAGCTAAGAGCTGGGGGGGGGGGAGGAGCTGAAAGAGCAAGAAAGATGGGAGTCCTCTTACCAGCATGGTCCAAGATCCCCACTCCTCTCTCTCCTCAAAACCAGGTAGGGAGGGGGTATGTGCAGGCCACTTTGAAAGGGCCAATGGTAGCCTTCTGTCCTAGACCTGGCCTATGTTAACCACCTCTCCCTGCCCCTCCCCAGCTTCCCTCTTTCCGAACCCACTTCCTCTTGTCCTTCCACGAGACGCTGACTGAGTCTGACTGCCACACGGCCACCTCAGCTTTGAAGCCTCCCAACCCGTGACCTCCCAAGCGAGCACCCCCACCCTCAGGCTTCTGAATCAGGACCCGATGGGCCCTGGCCTGGCCCCTTGACCTTGCCCAACCTCAAGAGGCCTCCTTCTTCTGCCTCCCTCTAGCTGAGCGTGGAGGACTTTACTGCCTACGGTGGCGTGTTTGGCAACAAGCAGGACAGCGCCTTTTCGAATCTGGAGGTAAGAGTTCAAGGGGGGGAGGTGTCTCTGTGTGGGCCATCAGTGTCCTGGGGCCTGAGAGTCCAGCACGGGGGTGGGTTTCAGAGCTCTGCCTCACTGACTGCCCTCTATCCTACCCTTAGAATGCCCTGACCCTGGCTCCCTCATCGCTGGTGCTCCCTGCAGTCGACTGGTATGCTGTTAGCACACTGACCACATACCTGCAGGAAAAGCTCGGGGCCAGTCCCCTGCATGTGGACTTGGCCACACTCCGGGAGTTGAAGCTCAACGCCAGCCTCCCGGCCCTGCTGCTCATCCGGCTGCCCTACACGGCCAGGTATGAGCCAGACCCTGGGCGCTGACATTAGCACCCACGGACAGCCTTTCCAGAAGGTCACTGGGTGGCCAGAGGAATGAGCCGTTGCCAAAAGCCCCCACTCTTGTGTGGCCTCGGGAGCAGGAAGGACAGGGGAGATGGTGCACCTGGGTGGAGGAGGTACCAGCCAGCTGCCCCCCAGGGAAGGGACACTAACGCTCTGTCTCTTTGATAGTTCTGGCTTGATGGCACCCAGGGAAGTCCTCACAGGCAACGGTGAGTGGGATCGAGGACATCTACGCTCACCTGACCACCCCACCACCACCACCCCGCCCTCAATTTGCTCGTGTGACATAGCTGTTGCCATGACTCCGAAAGCCCCTGGCTTCTTCTTCCCTACCAGAGGGCCCTGCCCTGTCTGCTCACAGTCACACTGGGTTCCACTCAATGGGGATGGCAGCGAATTGGGGCCTGGTGTGAGAGTTGGCCTAGAGCCAGCTCCCCTCTACCAGAGAGCATCAAGACGTTAAAAATTATCCAATTTGTAACCTGTTAAAACCCAGCTTTTAGAACTTTGCTTTGCCAAGGGCCTTAAAGCAGCTTCTGCCAAGCTGACCTGGATTCATGGCAGCCCCCCACATGTATCTGCCCTGCAAGCTTCTCAGCTCTGGTGGACTTGAACTGCCCACCTCTTGGGTGGCAGCCCAGGTCTCGATGCTGCACACCTCCCAGGAATGCCTTGGGAACCTTATATGGATGGATGTGTCTATGCCATGGCCACAGTCATGATGCTACAGCACCACAAAACACAAACACATAGCTATGGAGTTGAGGCCGACTCCTAGCGACCCTATAGGACAGGGTAGAATTGCCTCTTAAGTTTCTGAGACTGTAACTCTTTATGGGAACAGCCTGGTCTTTCTCCCACTGTGCAGCTGGTGGTTTCAAACTGGTGACCTAGCAGTTAGCAGCTTGACAAATGGTTATTTCCCTCTTCCCCTATCATCTATATCCATGACCCTACTTCTATATATCTACATCTGGACGTCCGTCCACATCCCAAGGCCCATGCCACTATCTGCCATGTCTCTGTTCTTACTTCTCTCTGTTCTTACTGTTCTGTAGCTTCTCATTAGGGACGAGGCCCAGGGGAGGCCGGCTGGATAGTGGGATGAGAAGCAGCCTTGGCCAGGCTGGGCCCATCAACAGCTGCCACAAACATTAGGCCAAGAGCTGACTCGGCCAGTCTCAAAGCAGCATCCTACAGGCCATGGGGGTGGGGGGGAGGTTTCACCCAGTGCTCCATTGGCACATGCTCAACATATGACCCAAGCCTGCTCTCCCTGTTCCTTAGATGAGGTGATCGGGCAGGTGCTGAGCACACTCCAATCTGAGGCTGTCCCGTACACAGCAGCCCTCACAGCGGTCCGCCCTTCCCGGGTACGTGCCTTTCCTGCAGGGCTCGGGAGGAGGAAAAGCATGGCGGTGGGCCTGGGAGGGTGGAGGGCAGGGTTGGTGCATGGGAAGTGGAGTCCCACTGGCTCCTAAAATGAAGGAAGTGTCTCTAGTCAGGCCGGCCGTGGTCATGTGTCATATGGTGAAGAAGGTAGCTCTCTACAGGGGCCAGTGGGTGCTCAGAAGGTTCCCCGGCTATCTCCACAGGTGGCTCGGGAGGCAACCCTGGTGTCTGGGGGGCTAGGTCGGCAGCTGCTCGAGAAGACCACCCAGGCAGATGTCCCTCACCCACCTGTGAGCTACAATGACACGGCACCCCGGATCCTGTTCTGGGCCCAGAACTTCTCTGTGGCTTATAACAAGCAGTGGAAGGACCTGACCTCCCTCACTTTTGGGGTGCAGCACCTCAACCTAACCGGCTCCTTCTGGAACAGCTCTGCTGCGGTGTAAGAGATGGGGGTACAGGAGGTGGGGCACGGCTTGCTGCGTAAGAGAGTTGGTCTGCTGCCCAATGTTATCACTTCACGGTCACCTGGCACTTGGTTTCTCCCCTGGGTACAAGAACCTGCTGGAAGAACCAACCCCCTAGACCAGCTTCTGGGCCACCGGGTGCCCTTGCTGTATGGCTAGAGTGATTGCTGTCTGTCTGTTTGCCCTCACCCCCTAAAATCCCAACCCAGGCTTCTCAGCAAAGCCAGCCAGAGCTGAAGGAAGAGCCCCGATGCTGTGAAGCAGAGGAAGGAGCCAGGAGTGGGCCCAGGGAGAGCTGGCTTCCAAGTCCTTCTTGAGTTGGAACTTTCTCACTGGGCCCTCGTTTTCCCATCTGGCAAAAGGGAGCCCCCTGCCTCAGTCATGCGGACCTCGGGCAACCAGGGCCCTTCCCGGGATCTGACCAGACGCCTTTTCCTCTGACCCGCAGGCTCTCACTGACCTACCCGCAACTGTTTGGTACCATGGTGACCTTCAAGTGAGTTTCAGGGGCAGCCAGGATGGGTCAGGCTGGCCATGGCACAGCTTCTTGCCTACCTGACCTGACCACTCCTCCCCCTCCCTCAGGTTCATCTTCGCTAATCGCTTCTACCCAGTGTCTGCCCGGCACTGGTTTAACATGGAGCGGCTGGAGGTACACAGCAATGACTCCATCACCTACTTCAATGCCTCCCAGATCACAGCGCCAAGCACCTACTCCTTCCACTGCCAGTTTGTCAGCAGTACCAGCGGGAGCAACAGCCTGCTCGTGCTGTACACGCAGCCCTCTCTCTGGCAGCTGACCCTTCGTGACTTCCAGGTGCGGGGAGGGGAGCAGGGGTAACTAGCTGGGTAGAGGGAGAAGAGGGGCCCCTGGAGCTGAGAGTCAGGCTCTCATAGTGCTCCTGGAGCCTGGGGCACCCTACCCTTGCTGTCACTAAATGGAGCCGTGAGGTCCACCCTGACTGTGTCTCTTCTGGCTTCTGGCCTCAGATCCAGGCCTTCAATGTGACGGGCGAGCGCTTCTCCTATGCCAGTGACTGTGCCGCCTTCTTCTCCCCGGGCATCTGGATGGGGCTACTCACCTCCCTCTTTCTGCTCTTCATCTTCACCTACGGCCTGCACATGATCCTCAGCCTCAAGACCATGGACCGCTTCGATGACCACAAGGGCCCCGCCATTGCCCTGACCCAGATAGTGTGACCGCCCTGCCCTGCGGGGGGTGGGGGGGCTGAGGGAAGGATGGCTGGTCACTTTTTCTCCTCTGGTCACACTGGACTGGAGGGCTGCTTCCTGCTCTCCCTCCCATGCATGAAGCAGTGTCCCCCCCCTCTCCCCCTCTCTTCCCTGGGGCTGCCCCCACTGGTACCTGCTGCGAGATGTACATACTCTGCATAGCTCCCAGGCCACTCTCCCAGGCTTAGCTGGGAGGGGAGGAGCTGCTCCTCCTTGGAACCCTTCCTTCCCCTCCTTATTTATTCTCCTTTCTCCAACATCTGCTGTTTATAGTGCTTTCCTGTAGTGTTGTATCCCCCCCCCACCCCGCCCCAAGCTTTAGGGGGCTCCCTGTAGCAGCTCGAGGGGGGGCAGTTTTAGTTAGTTGTGTCCTGCTTGGCTGTGATTTCATCCCTTGGTGGTGTCGTGCTAAAACTCAGCAGTACAGTGGCTGTGTGTCCTTGGCCTGGCAGGTGGGTTGGTGGGTGTCATCCTTGGAACCCTGGCAGGAGCCTGGGTACTCTTTTCCTCCCTAATAAAGAAACACTGGCCATGTTGTGTTGGGCCTTGGCTTTCTCATTTCTCCCCGGGCAGAGGGTGCTGGAGCTGCAGGGAGGTGGCCCAACTGGCCAAGGGAAACAAGCTTGGTGGGATGTGGTCCCCACCCTCAACCAGGGGGAGGATCTTGTCAGCTGGGCCCTACAAGGTCAGGGTCTTCACCTGGGGTGGGGGTGATGACAGGGGACGGGGCGGAGCTAAGTCACTATCTGCGGCTTCTGAGGGGAGGCCACAATGACAAAGGCAGCTCTGGCCTTTGAGGAGACCACAATCAGGGAGAGCTGAGGGCGCGGTCAGCTCCCCCTCGGCTGTCCACGCGCAGCACCGCCCCCGACCCTCTGCAGCGGCGCGTGCGCGCGCCCCAACCTCCCAGGGGGCGGG